GCAGAACGACATTGCCCTGCTGAAGCTGGACCGCAGCCTCGACTTTGCCCCCACCGAAAAGCACATCGCCCCCATTTGCCTGGCCAAGGAGGAGTTCTTTGAGGGCTGCTACGCGACCGGCTTCGGGTACACGGACGCCGCCATGACCGGCATCGACTACAAGTTGAGAGGCCTGGCGGAGGCAAGGGTGGCGGACGCCAAGTGCGATGAGCACTTTCTCTTCTACAACAGCACCGTCAATGTGTGCATCGGCGGACAGCTGAACCACGGCACCTGCAAGGGCGACTCGGGAAGTAAGTGGGAAGATTCAGTGGTGATAAAGGTGTGTGCTGATTATCTTCTTTCTTCTTCATACTAGGTCCTTTCGTGTGCCACCACGGCTCGACGAACCGCTGGTTCCAGATGGGCCTCGTCTCCTACGGCCTGCCCTGTGCGCTGGCGGATACGCCCGACGTGCTGACCCGAGTCGCCCACTACTACGACTGGATTCAGGCGCACAGTGGCTGAGTTTTAGAACCACCACCCCCCGCAAAAGGCGCAGTGAAACAATAAAGAGCCTCCTTCTTATTTACTTGTTTGCGTTTGTGTTTCTTTGCGTATCAATTAGGTTCAGTTCCGTTCAGTAGCCGTCATTGGACCAGGTGACGGTGTACTCGGGGTACTCCTTCTTCACCAGGGCACAGGAGATGCTGTGATCGGCCTGGCCGTAGCCCTGAGAGTAACCGTAGATGCGAATCGTCTTCTTCGCCGGCAGGTGCTCTATCCGTCCGCCGCCGACGCACTCACAGCTGAGCTTGCTCTTGAGAATGTGCGGCTCCACGCGCTCGAGGATGTCGGCTGCAAAAAAAGAAGAAAAAGAAGTACTTTAGAATACACGAAAAAGCCCTAGAAATAGAATGCCACACAGACCATGAAACGGCGCCCAGGAGTAGCCGCGGACAATGTGCTTCTCCTTACCGCCACCGGCCACCTTGATCAGAATGTACTTGAACTTGCCCTCGCTGTCAATGTCCACCTCGGGGATGTCCTCCATTGTTTTCGAGCAAAAATTCGAAGCAGTTCTAGTCCAACTGGAAGGTAGTAAATAAGAAAAAGTGGACACTTTTGGAAGGAGAACTCTGGAAGTCGGCCACAACAAAGTGGACACAGCCATGGGCGAATCGCCCGGTAACGTCATCTGCGAGCCGGCGGAGCCAGCCTGCCAGTGTGCCGTTTTCTCAGCAGCCGCTCTGGCTCGGCGAGACAAACACACAAACAGGCTTCATCTGCATCGGCTCCTTTCTTCTCGCCTTTCTTCTCTCCTCTTTCTCTCGTTTTCACCTACTTTTTCTGTTTCTGTTTC